TCCAGTTTATACAAGGTATACTTACCTGCATCAATCAAAATATAATTACGATCATTGGCTATGTTATAGGGAAGCACACTATTACATTAGGTATATAGCAACAGAACCTTTACTTCCCTTTTAGATATCACTAACAGAAATTCTTCTCTTCTGTCAAATATCCCACCTACAACAGAGTCTCACTTGTCCTCACCATAACTTTGTTGCCAAAAACAAAAAACAAAAATAAACAAAAAAAACAAAACCCTGTAACATTTTAATGGCCATCAGGTTAGCAGACACAACTGTGGCAGAAAAAAACCTAGATCTGCTAATTATTAGCAATATGTAGATCCCATAATGTTAAATATACTATTCAAGAAATATAATGCAGGTGGGTGTCATGGGGCAGTGGGTTAAAACATCACTTGTGACCCTGCATTTCACATTGAAGTACCTGGAGTTTTGTCTCTACTTCTGACTCAGCTTCCAGCTAATAGGCGATCTGGGAGGCAGCTGGTGATATCTCAAGTACTTGGATCCTTGTCACTCCCATGGGTGACCTGGATGGTATGTTCATGGTTCCTGGCTTCAGCTTAGCCCACCTCTGACTACTGTGAAGTGAACTAGTAGATATAAGATTAGTATCCTTTCTGTCATTCTACCTATCAAATGAATAAAAAAAGATAAATTTTTAACAATGTGGTTTCAGTTTTCTCGGCTGTTATAACCAAGTACTAAAAACTGATGTCTTGAAACAATAGAAATTTATCATCTTATTGTTCTGAAGGCCAAAAGTCCAAAACTAAGGTGTTGGTAGGGTCACACTCCCTCTGAAATCTGTAAAGGAACATCCCTTTTTTCTTCTTTCTAGTTTCTGAAAGTTTGCTGGCAACACTTAGTGTACTTTGGCTTGCAGCTGCAGCACTTTAGATTTTGCTTATGGCATCCCATTGCATTCTCTGTATTTGTGTCTTCACATAGTATCCTCTCTATTCTCTCTCTCTCTCTCTCTAAAGATTTATTTGTATATTATTTTATTGGAAAGGAAGATCAGATTAATAGAGAGAAGGAGAGACACAGATCTTCCATCTACTAGTTCACTCCTCAAATGGCCCCAAAGGCTGGACATGAGCAGATCCAAAGCCAGGAGCCAGGAGCTTCCCCAAGGTATCGTATGCAGGCAGAGTCCCAAGGTTTTGGGTGATCCTCCACTACTTTTTCAAGCCACAAGCAGGGAGCTAGTCATAAGTGGAGCAGCTAAGATATCAACCAGCACTCATAATGGGATCCTAATAATTGCAGGGGAGAATTTTAGCCATTGTGCCAGGACTGTCTTTTCTCTTTTTATAAGGACAATAGTCATAAGTGAATCAAGTGCACACTCTAGTATGACCTCATTTCAGCTTACATTTTAATTACATCTGCCAAGAAAATCCCATCTTCACGAACTAGGAGGCTTGACTTCAATAAGTTGTTTGGAGGGCACAATCTAAAAATACATAGCAAACTCCCATTTTAGAAACTTAGTATTTTTCCCAAATCCTATAACAGTCTGGAATTAGAAAGGCCTGCTCCCACAGTGTTAAGATTCCAAGAAAAGGGCATTTTGTTGCAGCCATTAGGGTTAAAAAAGAAGGCTACTGGAGGAATACAAAAAAGAATTCTAGATGTAGTTTTAAGACAATAGACTATGAAAAATTTGTGGAAAGGGCTTTGAAGTCCATCAGATTAAAAGATTATTTAAGATGCTACTGGTTGATATCATGGGCAGCTTTATTGATAGAGGAAAATGCATACAGAGTTACAAACAATAAGCTTACAAAGGAACTTTGAGAATATATCCATTTGAAAGTGTATCAGTCTATTTCTCATTACTATAGCGAAATATAAAAGGCAGGCTATTTTATACAGAAAAAGGTTTATTTTGGATCATGGTTCTGAAGGTATAAGGTATATGGGCCTCATCTGGCATTCCCAAGGTGGTAGAGTGCACCTTTATGTAGGAAGAGACAAAGAGTGTACATGCCTACATGTCTCTCCTTCTGTTTATAAGGCCACTAATAACAATTCAATCCTGTGAGTTCTACTCTCTTAATATCTCACAATGGAGATTGGATTTCCATACACGAAGTCTTGGAAGACAGTTAAAATGTATTTCAACTGGGCCCAGCAGCGTGGCCTAGTGGCTAAAGTCCTCACCTTGAACGCACCGGGATCCCATATGGGCGCCGGTTCTAATCCTGGCAGCCCCACTTCCCATCCAGCTCCCTGCTTGTGCCCTGAGAAAGCAGTGGAGGACTGCCCAAAGCCTTGAGACCCTGTATCCATGTGGGAGACCTGGAAGAGCTCCTAGCTTTGGATCGGCGCAGTACCGGCCGTTGCAGTCACTTGGGGAGTGAATCATTGGGCGGAAGATCTTCCTCTCTGTCTCTCCTCCTCTCTATATATCTGACTTTCCAATAAAAATAAATAAATCTTTAAAAAAAATGTATTTCAACCACAGTAGTAAAAACAGTTTAGTATCAAAATAACAGATACAAATGTTTCTTCTCAGTGGAACACCCTTCAAGTATGGAGGAAGGCAGTGTAATGGAAAGATTAAGTCAACGTTTCTCATACTGAAATCCATGTATTCTAACAAATTTTTTAATTCTGCATTTTTATTTTCACAACATTAAAGTATGTAAAGAATATTCTGGATCACCTGCATGAAATAAATGAGTACAAGTATACAAGTCAGCGCTGTATTTATATTCAGGTTTAGGAAGGCATAAGTGCTAAGAAACTCCCTAAAGCAATAGTGCTTAATTTTTTCTGTTTTGAAAGCATACCTGGCCAATCTTAAGTTGGAAATTCTAAATCACACAAGCAATCATAACTCAAGCATTCTTGTATTCCCACTGTGTATTCATGCATTATAAAGACCAAACGTCTCTAAGAGTTGTCAACTTATAACTAAAAAATACCTACCTTGAATAAGACCTTAATTTTAAGAATCAAGACTTTGTCATTCTGAAAATGACTGTGGCAGAATAACACTAACAATCAAAGTATCTCAGGGTAAGAAGAAAATAATACTCATAGACCTATTTGTACCAAGTGGGAGCCAAATGATTTTATAACAGCTGTATGAACAAAGGGTCTACAACTGTTCAAAAGGAGTGGGAGAAGTGAAGAATTATCTTATAGTACACAGTTACAGTTAACACAAAATTAAAGATTCTGTATCATTATTCGTTTATTGAAAGGAATTATGTTAATTATTGCAACAGTTCATGGGAAAATAGAAAATACACAATGGAAGAATTTTCCATTCTTGTATCATAAGCATATTCTGTCCCATCAAATTAATGGAAAAGGTTATACAAGCTGAACATGAGAGATGGGAATTCATTGTAGGAGGGAGATGTGGAACAAGAGAAGGCATGGGGGTGAGAACAAAGTAAAGGTAAATAAACTCGCCTGATGCAATGGAATGTTCTACAACCTGTCAATGTAAAAGCTTAATGGGTAAAACAGGGGGAAGACAGACATAAACATACACATATACAGGCAATGGAGTTAGAGTGAATGATCTAACAATGTTTCAAATTGTTCAGATTTCTGAAAGAATTCCTATGTGTTAGGAATTTCCTTAGTATAGTGTTAAGATAATTTATCCTTAGAAGAGAGGCCAAAGTGTCTATTTTACCCTATTTTCCTACTGCCTCAAATGTTTTCTAAATAAATGAGTATATTTTTGTTTTAAATACAGTATAGATGACACAGCTTAATATTAATAATGAGGATTGGAAGGCAGAATATTTTCAATACCAAACTATCTCCTTAAGTCAGATAAGCAGTTGACTGACAGTAATACAATCCTCAACTCTTCTTTTGAATTTTCAGGAGGAAATAAGTCAATGATCAATGAACCACAAATTCTAATTCTGTTTTCCGAGGGAATAACAACAAAAAAAGAGCAAACATGGCTAAAACCGGCAATGTAAAGGTGTTTACAAAAGTTAGATCAGGATTGCTTCTGTTGGTACTACACATATTGTTTTTGAGAATTCTGAGACTCAATCCAATCCCTTTAACTTTATTAGGTTAAAAATCCTATCCTGTCAAGTCAATTGCTTGTTTTACTTTGCATTTGCCAACATACAACATCATCTTAATTATTCCTGATTTATCCCTATCCTCAAAACAGATTAAGTTTTCCAGAGTGGTGATGCATGTCTTCTGGGCAGCTATAATCCCTACATTTAGAAGTGTCTAGCACATAGCAGCTTTTCAATAAATATTTGTTAAACACTCATATAGCAATAGATTTGTTCTCAGCTACAGTTATTCAAATGAAAAGACTGTCCTAAATCTGATCACATTCTGTAGGACCAAATGTGAGAGAATGGAGGCACAGGTGGTTGAGAACAATTAATAAGAAAATTAATTGGAAAACGATTGTAGGAATGATGGGGGAGGGAACAGTATAGTGTATGATAAATATTAGCCATTAATAAAAATAACAGTAATCTGCAGATTTGATACTGAGGCAAGAGCTCTGGGCAGATAAATAATTTCTAGCCAGCTGAGAAAGAACAGAAGGTCAATACTTGGTGGTGAAAGAAAGATGCACAGGGGCCTAGGAACCCACAAAGGAGCCTGAACAGCCAGAAGCAAAAAGTGAAGCCGAACATGACGTCACCGGGCAAGGGAGTCAAGTCTCGGGCGATCTCAGGGAATTAAAAAGCTACAGAAAGGTCTTGCAGAATGAGTACTGAGAAAAAGTTCGCATTTTCTTATACTCGAACGACAACTTAAGTAACGTACTGTGATGCTCCATAACTCGAGGTCTTTTGAGAGGTCTACAAAGCATTCCTGCAAAAACAGGACCTGCCCAACAATCGAACAGTCGACATCAGAGAAACCCGTCACCCTTGCACTGCCTCCTCACTCCCCCACTACCTTTTCGTCGATACCTCTGCCTTCTCTCGTTATTTCTCCGCCTCCAGCAAAGCGAGCCCTGCTCGACTTACCTGTTTAGGCACCCCTTCAGGGAGTTCAGTCTCAGGACTAAGAGGTGCAGATCTGCTTTGGGTCGCCGCCTGCCCGTTCCCAGAGAAGGCTGGGCAGACGCAGTTTACTTCCGCGTAAAGCGCTCCGCCTAGCGTGGCCTCCTGGGAATGTGAGTCTTCCTCCAATGAGAGCAGGGGTGGAGGCGGGGTCTGTTGCGTTCCTAACCACTCGTATTTCCCAGGAGCCATACTGCATTTCGGGAATCGTAGTTCCAACTGGAGTAGTCCCGAGTCTGACACGTTTACTGAACAACTCCTGCTGCAAATAATGTTAAATGCAGCACAAGGATACCGGAGGGCTAGAGAATATAGGACTGCAAAAAGAATCTGTCAGCGTTGAGTGGGCAGGATAAATGAATTGACCAGCTTGTCTTGCCATCTGCCACCTTGGTTTTCAGCGGTTAGTCTCCTGCTACTTTAGAGAAAACAGAATTCATCTAACGTACTCTCTACTTTTCGACGTGAAATTTTCTCACTTCCTCAGACCCTCACAAATCCTGTTTTTCCTTCATTCAATAGTAACAATAATAAACTACTTTCATTCAATCTGACACCTCACTCTTACATCCCTATTCCTTTTTGCCAGTTCGGAGTCTGTCTTCTCAATGGTGAATCCTTTCCGCGACTCAATGGCTCTCGGCTTATTCATATTTAAAGACTGTCATATGTTCTCTTCTGAAACAATCCAGTCACCACTCTCCATTCCATATCCCCTGCCTCTTCACACACAGACTTAACCCAGTGGTCTTTTTCCCATTGCTCCATTCTCACCAAATTTCTCAGCAGTAATGCTATGATAGATATTTTATAATAACTACTATACTTCAACTCTATGGCATTTAAAATAATTTCCTCAATTTTGAAGACCATTATTCTCTTAGCTCTTTTCCAGACATTACTCTGTCCATATCGCCTCACCTCTGTGCCAGCTCTTCATTTTTCTTTATAAATGTTCCTATTTCCATAGGGCTGTGCCCTATACTCTCACTCTTCACACTCTTCTTGCTAGAATTAACCAGTCCAATAGCTTTGATTGCAATCTGTATGTTAATGATTTGCATGCATAGGAAGCCCAGATAAAACTGTAATCCTACCAATTATTCATTGACAACTGGTAATTTCTTTGATGCACCTCAAACTTAATATAATCCTCAATTAATCTAATACATTCCTGCTTTCTTCTCTTCCCTATCCTGCATCTATTCAATGCAGAAAGCTGGGAATTATTTTCAATGCTATTATTTCCTTAACACTCACATTGAAACAATGAGTAAGCCATATTAATCGTCTTAAATATGTTATCTCACTTGTCAGCTTCAGTTTCCTCATTTTAAAATGACAACCATAGTAGTATCAAGAAATGTCACAATGTTAATGATCAATATTGCAAGGCAGAGAATAAGCAGTTGGGACAGTAACTATTTATTGAGCATTTTTTTGAACAAACATTTTTTGTCATTAGTTAATCCTTCATTGTGACTTCATCGGGTCATAATGACAGCTAGCATTTACTTTTTATTTATGTTTACTTTATGTATACTTTAGCATTTATGTTTATATGGAAAGAAAAAGAAACATGGGAAATTGTAAAATATTTTGTGCAAGTTACCTCACTTGATTCCAAGAATTTAGTACTGGTCACAAGGCACTGATGCATTATTATATTCTAATATGTGCAGTATATACCATATTTTGGTTGTTGAGTTCAGCTTTGGGGAAACTATGGACAAATTCAAGTATATTCATAAAATGGAACTAAAATAAATTGGGTACTTGTGTTATGGTCTTAGGCAGCTAGTACAGGGTTACAAACTTGGAAGTCATGCCTCCCCCACCTTTGTGATCCTTTCTGTCCATCTGTGAATCAAATGACACTATCATCACCTGGAACCAGAAAGGGCTGTTATTTTGTTGTTGCATAGCCACTCCCCTCCCCTCTCATGCCCTGATAAAGACCAATGATAGGGAGGGACTCTATCTCCTAGTCCTTACTTCTGTGGTTTCTGTCATTTGCAAGCTCTGACTCTTGCCCTCCCCACTCCCCAGTACCTGCTTGCTCTCCTTCTTCCCATGGACAGACTCTGAGGACAGGTAGCCCCTGAACATGGTTCACATATGTCTGTATTCCTCACCCTGTGTTCACTGCTTGGGCGAGTCAGCAAAGATGAAAATGCTAGGATGTTTTTTATTTCTACTTTTGTATTTTCAAGAGTTCCAGGAGCGATGAGGCCTAGCAGTAATGGAATGTGGATAGAGAAGCCAGGAAAAGGTGAATGTTTGCAGCTTTGTAAGTGTGTCCAGGATGTTCATTGCATGTCTCTTAGGATAATTTATATTGCTGGGGAAGCTGGAACATAGGTCCATGTTCAGTTTAATGAACTGATTTCATGGTAATGACCATTTGTTCCTCTCAAGGTTTCGATTCAGACTGAATTATCTTGATGACTTTTCATTTACTAATTTCTAGTGGGCCCTGTTATCACCAAGCTTGGTTAATAAAGGCTTCTTAGTACACTCTAGACTTGTCTGGCGTGATCTCTCCACTGGCCACTTCAAAATTCCACATAAAATCTTTATAAGTTTCCCATTATAAAGAAGATAAAGTCTAAGGTACTCAAAAATATGTACTCAACTTGATGATCTGGTCTTTCTCTGCCTCCCCTTCTTCATATTCTGGTTCTTCCACTCATACTCTGTGTTCAAGCCTATTATATATGGTGGCTATGATTTTATGTGTTTGTGAGAATATTTCTGAATGAAATTAGTGTTTTAATTGGTGGACTTAGTAAAGTAGGTTGCCCTCTCCAGAGTGCGTATCATTCAGAACAGTGAGGGAGTGCCCGAAATACACTTTATCTCAGCCGAAACGCTGAGAACAGAGAGAAATTTCACCCACTGTTTTCTATGTCACTCCTGGAGTTGGGATATCTTATCTCAACTTCTGCAGTTGGACTGGGAATTACATATATGGCTCAATGGCGTGATGTACATTTTTGAAGAAGCACCTTATCAGGTTGAGGAATTTACTTTTTTCCAGTTATATTTATCTTCATTATTTCCAAATACTTCCTTTCCTTAGCTATTAAAATATTCTTTTTCTTTTTTGTAGAATTCCTAATATCCAGATATCAGTACAATTTTAAAAGGCAAAAAAGAGGAACACACATACATGGAGATTTTCCATTCACTGGTTCACTCTCCAAATAGATACAAGAGTCTCAGGCAGCACACATTTGTAAGATAATTGACCAAATTTGCCAGGTGCTGACCTTCCTCCCCTTGCTCATATCCTTGCATAGAATGATTCACCTGAGGACCTCCAGTAAAGAAAAGATCCACAAATGAATCAAATCAACATGAAGTGTGATTCCTGAATGAATAAAACCTGCTGGGAGAGGCATTGGGAGGGAGGATTCCCTGCTTTCAAAATCTTATCTTTACTCATTTTGCATAGCTCCCTTTTCAATCCCTAATTTATGCTAGTCATCGGTAATTTGAAGCTTTGAATCTCATAGACATTTTAATACTTCTTACCACCCATGAAGAGTGAATCTTTTGATTTTGGTGAGTCCTATATGATTTCTTTCATTGTTATTTTATGATTTTCATTACATAAATCTTACTTTGATTAAGATTTTAAAAAATATTTTTATAGCTCTTATAAATGATATTGATTTATTTACTTCCTTTTCAGCAAGATTGTTATTGGAATGTAAAAATGTTACCTTTTTTGTATTTTGACTTATATTCTGCAACTTTATTGAACTGATCAGTTTTAACGACTTTTTGGCGGAATGTTCAGATTTTTCCAAGCACAAAATCATGCAATGTATGAACACAGATATTTTTATCTCATTTTTTCTAATGTGAATGCTCTTTATTTCTTCCTTTTGCCTAATTGTTCTTGCTAGGACTTCCAAAACAAATTGATTAAGAGTGGTGAAAATAGCATTCTTTTTTTTTTTTTTTTAAAAAAAAGATTTATTTATTTTTATTGCTAAGTCAGATATACAGAGAGGAGAGACAGGAAGATCTTCCATCCAGTGATTCACTCCCCAAGCAATGACCAGAGCTGCGCCAATCTGAAGCCAGGAACCAGGAGCTCTTCCAGGTTTCTCACACGGTTGCAGGGTCCCAAGGCTTTGGGCCGACCTCCACTGCTTTCCCAGGCCACAAGCAGGGAGTTGGATGGGAAGTGGGGCTGCTGGGATTAGAACCGGTGCCCATATGGGATGCTGGCACATTCAAGGTGAGGGCTTTAGCCACTAGGCCACGCCGCCGGGCCCAAATGAGCATTCTTGACTTGAATCGAAGGGGAATCAAAGGGAAAATATTTTCAGCTTGTCCCCCTATTCAGTATGGTATTGACTTGTGGATTGGCATAAATATGAGGAGTGACTTGAACATCGAACATCTGCCCTGAAGGCCTTAGCCATATTTGGACTTTGTACTATTTTAGATATCTACTTCTCGTATCCTTACCTCGCAAAATTCGTGCCATTCTGGTTCTCCACCAATGAGATGTGACCTCATGGAGTCTTAGCTGAGAACCCCACCCCCAATCACTTATGGCCCCTCCCCTAATCCCCACTCACTTCCCAAACTTCCGTGGCTCCAATAATTTCAGTCACCAATCCCTTGGTGTCTACCCACAACCCGTCCCAATCAATTCCCCACACCCAACACACTTTCAGGGCTCACCTGGCTCTCCCCCTGTCCTCCTCCATCTTGCCTCCTTCCCCTGCCCTGGCAGTCCCCCAACCTGCCACCATGGCAGGAGACATTTCCTTTCTTGTTCTCTCCTCCTCCACCCCGACTCCTGTTCCTACCCAAAGAACCTCCTAGATACCTCCTCATGTCTGGTATTTTTGCTCTGCAGTAAAAGAAGACTTTGCTGCAGGAAATTAGCTGCATGTAAGGATTTATTACAGCTAAAAACTAACAATATATAACTTACTATTTTGAGGTATGTTCCTTCTATATCCTTTTTTGTTGAAAGTCTTGTAAAAAGCCATCCGTTTACCTTTTAATATGAAATGACTTATGGAAACAC